CCCCAAGCCGCAGTAGATAGTATGGTGTGACTAGCATCATTAAGTGTTGCACCCAGTACAACTCCACCTCAAACGGGAGCTGAAAGGATGTAGACAGTAGCAGATCTGACATCGGACAAGCATTCATTTGCCTTTTGAACAGGCTTGTGATAAAGTGTTTTTGTTTTCTCTTTTTTTTCTTTTCTTTTATACATGCAACAGATCTTTGGCAGCAAGTGCAAGCTATCTGCAGAAGTTTGACACTGAATAGAAACTGAAACAATTTTGTATGATCATGTAATAAGTTCTATATCTATGGTTTAAGAAAAAGCTGGTTAAAAAGATATAATCCTTGAGTGTAAATTTTAAATATTCATACACTTTTTTTAAGTGTATGAACATGGCCAAACTAATAAAGCTATTAAGATTTACAGTATTATCTTGGTGCTAGATCACAACTGCAAGGCAAATCTCAGTTGATTATGGCAACAAAAAATAAACTGTAAGCACAAAATCCACTCTGGGAAAATGGGCCATGAAAGATGCATGGAATATATCAAAACATGCTGATTTGGTGCTATAAAATAGGGGTAGGTGATCAAAACAGATATACATATATAGTTGTCATTGAAACCCACAATGTCAATTTAGGGGCCCAACTTAAAGGGGTTAAAAAGCACTTTATTGCAGACACAACAACACTCTTACATACCAGGCGAGAGTTGGTGACTGGAAATAGTATAGCAAGGACAGCCCCATTAAGGAAGTTGAGATGAACTCGAAATACTGTAGTTACAAACTTGCTAGGTGGAGCAGCTAGAAGGTAAATCTGTAAAGCAAATGTTCTTTAATTCTTTGAGCAATGAACAGGATACATGTTGACATAAGTTAATCTATATCCATATAGGAACTGAAGAGATGAGAAGAGACAAGATCCAAGGATAGAAATGAAGGGGAATAGAAGGAACAGGAGAGGAGGGGAGGGTAAGGGAGTTGGGAGAAAGGGTATAGGGAGAAGAGAAAAGAGAGAATATATTTAACTCTTTCTATCTCATATACCTGTATAGCAGTGGTTACATGACATGGGTTCAACAGGTATATAAGCTGTTTCGTTGCAAACTTGAAACCAATTTCCATTCCAAACACCATGGAAACCAGCACCAGGAGAGCTCTCTTGCCCCCTCGGTCTTTTCTGAAGTGCAAAGATTAGTCAATGACAAGCAACATATAATCTCTCAATGTATCACACTATCAAAGCTACTCACTATCACAATGGGTATACTGTGCCAGAGAATCAAGTGTGAATTAAAATTTGATAAGGATATCTCAGTAAGCTGCTCTCAGAAATTGTATAAAGGGCATTCTCTCATATACACACCCCTTTATGCATGTGCACACACACACACACACACACACACACACACACACACACACACACACACACACAAATAAAAACACACCTAGAGACACACAAGAACTAATAGGCATAATCACATACCTTAACACACACACACACACACACACACACACACACACACACACACACACACACACACACACACACACACACACACACACACACACACACACACACACACACACACACACACACACACACACACACACACACACACACACACACACACACACACACACACACACACACACACACACGTGAACAGGTCACGTCAACGAAAGTTGTAATAATTTTTTGAGGGATTTCGGATTCATTGAAAGAGCATGGTCAACTTTTATAATTAACCATCATACTTTTAAGCCAAATGAAGCAGCTTTAGGGTTTAAGTGTCCCACAATATTATTGGAAACCTACAATACAATAAAGGGACACCATTATGAGCTTTGAACATCACTGTACATAATACTGTACATACACACATATACATACATATACATACATACATACATACATACACACATAGACACACACACACACACACACACACACACACACACACACACACACACACACACACACACACACACACACACACACACATACACACACACACACACACACACACACACACACACAACACACACATGTATACACACACACACACACACACACACACACACACACACACACACACACACACACACACACACACACACACCCACACCCACACCCACACCCACACCCACACCCACACCCACACCCACACCCACACCCACACCCACACCCACACCCACACCCACACCCACACCCACACCCACACCCACACCCACACCCACACCCACACCCACACCCACACCCACACCCACACCCCACTTCCCTGCAAATAATAAACCAAACTTGCTACTTACCTAACAAACTTATATGAGGAGGGATATGTTATATACGAATAACCCCAGAAGAAGTATACTACTGGTATTGCAATCCCTAAGAGGGTTTCAAATAGCCTACGATGAATTGTAAGGAAATTTGCGCAGTCTGGCCCACCATTGCCAGGAATCGAGCCATCGACACCTCCATAGCTCCAGTCCAAAACATTTTCCAGTG